TATCTGTGCATGCATATATTCATGTGTTGATGTAAGTGAGTGTGTATTAAAAGTTAAAGGCTGTGCTTTTATATGTATCTTCAGCTCTTTCTTTTCTCCCTTTTATGCCGAGAAATCCTTGGCCTTGAATTAAGTAGTGTTGATACTGGACTCACATGCTACTCTCTATAATTGTTGGAATCCAGTCTCACGATTTTCTTGCTTTGTCATCTAATGGGCCTTCTCTGAAACTTTGCTACTTCTATTGATGCTACAGAATTGCAATCGTGCCATGAGAAAGCAGGATCTTATTGCGTCTCTTATTTCTTTGTATAAAGAGGAGTTATGGTATTAATTGTTTTCTATTGCAATCCTTTTAATATGTTGATTATGTGACTTCATGAGAAAATTCTAAATTCTCTATTTCCTGTTAATTTGCAATGTACAGCCCATTATTACCTTGTATGGTTTTGGATCGAACAGGTGCCTGTGTTAGGATATCTTTAAAAGCTGAGTCCCTCATTTGGCGTGCTGAGGTGCTTTCATGTCTTCTAATGATTAATTAATATTACCACAGTAATCTGGAAGGGCTGGGTTAGAAATAATAGTTTTATTGTGATTCTTTTTAATTATATGCAGAGACTTTTCTTCTTGAATGGAGAGCAGGATTTATCGGCATTTCTACTGGTGGATTTGGGAATAGTCAAGTATCCAACTTACAAGTGCATAATTTCACAACAAATTTTCTCAGGTCGAGATGGTTTGCTTGCTTATGAAGAGGTGTTGCTTTGTATGTATGCAAAAACATTGAAGACCTTCATCACCATTACCATATCTCATGGTATTTTCTTGCAGGCCATTGAAGTCGCACAGATAATAGACGAAGCTCTGGATGGAAGCAACATTGAATTGGTGAAAAAATGCATTGATATTGCTGATTCCCGTATATCCAGTGAATCAACTCAATCTTTAACCTCTGAATCAATGGCTCCATTTCTTTCCTGCTTTTCTGCAAAATATGTCTACTCAAAAGTGGTTTTACTTGGAATTTCCTTTCTTGAGCGTGAGCATAGGTATGATCTTGGAATTACCTGTCATTATTTACGTCAATGCTTCTGCTGCGCAAATTACATGTTGTTCTCTGTCTGGGATTTTTAAGTTAACTTATGTTGACCTCATAAGCATGTTTGAGCAGCCATAACTCACTTTGAATTGTTTCATGTTTCTTCTTTTAATGTGGCCAATTAACATTTGTGTTATAAACTTTTCTGGAATAGTGGATACGTGTTGTTGAAGAATGTAAAAATACCACATTGGAAACTTGACAATATAAATACAATATGTAAATGAGTGGTTCTACTACTAATAACACCGAGGCCTTGATGGTGGTTAAGTTGGGGACAATATTTGGGTAGTAGTTGGCTGTTGGTTTGTCTCTCTGAAATCTTAACAATTAGTTTGAAACACAGCAAAATGAAATGTTAATCGTGGCCAGAAATGGTTTGTTTCTTCCCTCAATTTGTCGGTGCTTTAAAGGTCATAAAACATGCAGTTGACATATCATATCCCAGTTCTTCCTAAATGCTACCCTAATAAATGCCAATAACCTTATTTGATCTATTTGTTTAGTCTGAAAGAGCCCTAAATCTTAAACCCCAAATGCTAAACCCTAGAATCCATAAATAATTTAAACCCTACCCTAGTAAACCCCAAGATCCCCTAATAAGTTCTGAAATTAAAATAAAAAATAGAGAAAGGAGGGTCGATTGATGGACACTGAATTTTGGAGTCCACATTTTTTGCATAAACCACCAACGATTGCTAGCATCTATGAAATTGAATCAAATATATGATATTATTTACTATACTGGTAACTGGTCAGCTCTTTGCACATAAAGTTATAAGGAGAACTGATGTTGATTACACCTACATTTGTCTAGTTGTGATGTTTCCCAGGCTGAGATAACTTTTGTCTTCCACTCAGGTACAGTGATGCAAAATATCTACTGAAGCGGCTGCTAAAGTGCTTCACTTGTGATGGTAGAAGAGGATATTGGACACTGAGGTTGTCGATTGACTTGGAGCACATGGGATATCTTAATGAGAGCCTTTCTGTTGCCGAAAATGGGTTACTGGATCGATGGGTGCGCGCTGGTTCAAGGGTGGCACTTCAAAGGAGAGTCCTTCGATTAGGAAAACCACCAAGGCGATGGAAAACTCCTAGTTTTGCAGAGTCCGTCAAGAGGAAGATCATGGAGGTAATCACTTAATTGTAATATGCTTGTTAAACTCTCAAGTCAAAGTTGAGTTATTTAATTTTGTTTTTACATCTTACAGTACCACTGTTCCTATTGACTCAGTTTTTTTGACCAACAAGTTAGGTTCATGTTCAAGGGAGACCTCTAAATTCTGTGATAGGTATGAGGAGCAGGTTTTATGGAGAAGATGGGGAGCAATGTGGGGTAGAGCGGCTAGCCCTGCAGCATTATGCTGCAGAAGGATGGCAGGGTGTTCATACAGAGAGTGGCATTTGGTTAACTATTTTTGGTCTTCTTATGTGGGATATTATATTTTCTGATATACCAAATGTCTTCCGCACCAGGTTTCAGGTATGTTTGAGTGTGTGCTACCAAGCTTCAAACATTTTTGAAATTTTCTACTTTATATACATTCCTGCATACGTGTATATATATGCATTTGCTTGCTTGGCTTAGGTGTGGTGGTGTTCATGCCAGGTCCTTCAGAGGTTGCTCAGTTGCACTGCATGGCCTATAGATGTCATTTATTACTCTTGTTGGAGTGGTAAGTGACAACTGAAGCTGGCAACCTAGAGGCATGAAGCATAATATGGTGTTTGGTTTCTGCTACTGTGTATACTTTAAGTCTGAATTTCAAGGAGGGGGACTGATCAATAAGAGAGAGCATAAGGTGTTGTACTTTAATCTGAATTTAAAGGGGGTAGACTCGTAGCACCTAAGAATTTGAATAGGTTCAAAATTTATAGGAGGTGATAGATGCAGGAGTGGAGAAGAAGGGAGAGTTATCTTGTTTGCCAGCTGACACCCAAGATTTGATCAGATACAAGTTTAACTTCAATATTTTAATCCTTCAATTATAAGGCTATCGCAAAGTTGATCTAGAACAGGGAGAGAAATAAAAGAATGTTGAGAGAGAGAAACACAAATATAAGTGCTTGAATAAGAGGGTTTAGACAGAGGAAGAACAAAAGAGGCAAAGTATGATAAAGTTATATTGGCTTCATGCTCATCAGTTTGTCTGATATCTATAACCCTGTTACTGTAGGGCCTCATTATAAGGCAATTAAATTAATAAAATACCGGATACTATCAAACTTGCTCGGAGTAAACACTTTTTTCGTCAATGCTTTTCATGTCTAAAGTTCTGTACATGGTCTTTTCTTCAATATATTTGACTCTTATTTTGGAAAAAAAATGAAGAAATAAAATTCCTATTTTGCAGACTGCTCCCTTGGATTTGGAGACTGATAGCTTTTATCTAGTGAGAAAGAGCCATATAGAATCTCACCTACAGAGTATTCATGATGGCATGGCTGAGGAGATCCTCATCACTTCATGGGAATTCCATGAGGGAACTGCATGTAGAGGAGTTAACTGGGACCGGCATTCCCTCTCTGAGCTTCGGGCAGCTGTTACATGCATCGGTGGCCCTTGTTTGGCCTCATTCTGTCGACATCTAGCACAAGATTATCGAAGCTGGTCAAGCGGAATGCCAGATTTATTGTTGTGGCGTTTCCATGGGAATTACAAAGGTGAAGCCAAGCTTGTCGAAGTTAAAGGCCCCAGGGATAGACTCTCCGAACAGCAGCGGGCATGGCTGCTGCTTTTAATGGACTGTGGCTTCAATGCTGAGGTCTGTAAAGTGAGCCCTCTTTTGTGAATTTAATGTGCTGCTTCGGTCCTCCATTGGAAGCATGTAATGAGGATTTTGAAGATGCATGAAAGACCTACAGAAAATAATTTACAAGGATTGGAAATTAAAGCAATTTGATGGGCTTTTGCGGAAGTTTACCGTTTGATCACTAGAGTATTTATGGAGCAAGCAAACCCAGGACTTGAAGATACTTCTTTGCCCAATGGGGATTTCACCTTTGGAGACGTTCCATGGAAAGAAGTTGATTATGAATATTGAGGAGGGTTCTCTGGTAGGATTCAACCTTTTCTGGAGATTCGTTAATGATGACATTGCCTGAGCCGTTATGAGCTGAGGCACTTCTGTGCCATTTATTTGTAACCCTTAGTTGGCATTGGCAAAGGCCATTTTCTCTGATTTAGGCGTTAATTTTCCTTGAACTTGGAGGAACTGGTTTTACTATTTACGATATCAAATGTTGATCATATGCGTCAATATACATGAAATATTTGTATTCCTAATGTCCTCATGTTTACACATGGAACAAAATATTTATTTTAAAAATAAAAGTTCTTCAAGAATCTTGAGAATGAAATGGAAGTATTGTTTTTCTCTCTTTCCCATGAAATAATTTCTATCTCATATGCAGAAAACGGAAGTATTTTTCAAAAGTACTGAAGTAATTTATAGCTAGGGATTTTAACTGCAATGGCCTTTGAATTTATAATCGAGTCCCATTGTAGTATCCTTTCATCAATTTGAGGGGCGTAACTGTTAATTCATGTACAAATCACATACCTTACCTTTTTTCACGAACATATTGATAAAATTTGATAAAATGACCAAATTACCATTAGTGGGACAATTGGAGGACGCCTAATAAAACTAAAACTTTACTGAAAAACCAAAATAAAACTCCAATACAAGTTCAAGAAACATTGCAATTTCGTAATTTTCTTTTATAAAAAAAACCATTCCAATTAAAACTCGATTAAAAAAACCTTTTTCTAGCTAGGGGTGGTAATGATCGGATAGTGTAAGTAATTTTCACATGACCTCTTGTAAGAAATACCTTTGTCCTTGTGATTTAAAGCGTTTGCCTTCGCCTCGCTTATCCACTTTCGCACAGAAACATGGTTAATATGAGTGAGTAGCTTAACACCCTGCAAATGTGCTTCGTCTAAACTCCTCACAATTTTACACATACGCACGCAGATATAGATAGAGAAAACAGAAGAAGGGCAGGAGGAGGAGCGCTTTCTCTTCCTTTCCTTGCTTTCCAGACTCTGCAAATCATAACAAGTTTTCAGTCATTTCCTTTTCACCACAAACCCTCTGTTTGCAGGTAGGTGCTTGTTCTCTCCTGTCATGTCTCTCAATTTTATGCTGTCTCCAACTTTTATTTTTCCCCTAGGGTTTCTGGGTATGTCTTATTGATAAAATATAATTCTGTTTCTGTTGTTTTTATTGCTTTGAATAGTTTGATTTGAACACCTGTGACATGGTTTCAAGTCTCTTCCTTTTTTTTATTGCTCCTTTCTAGCTGGCGTGTTGCTCTTTTCTGTGTTAATATTTTTGTTTTCAGTACTTGTAACTGGTCTTTGTGAGTATTCGAGGAGCTATAGAAATTTTTTTTTTTTTTTGGGTAAAAAAAGCTATAGAATTTTCAACATCATATAGAGATTCCTCTATCTGCTGCGATATTTATCTAGTCGTCTTTGTTCATTGTTGGGGAGGTTGAGTTTTGTTTTTCCTTTTCTATGTCTATTACAATATGTATACGTGGAAAAAGGAATTGTGATCTGCTTTGAGACCATTCTCTGGATTTCTGGATAGAGAACCACACATTTGTTCTTTTCCGCGATTCTACATGACTTTTCAGATAGGATCACCAATCACTTGATGTTAAGATTAGAGTGTACAGTTTGTATTCAAGTCAATTTTGCAGAGCTAAATTTCTTACTCAATCTCTATCTCTAGAGAACTGATTGTTGATATCTTATCTTCTCATTTTTCACTTGTATAGTTGTTTTTGGTTGAATTCTTTTTAGAGTTCTTGCGAGTTGCAATCACTCCTCTCTCTTTCTCTCTCTCTGTATGTAAATATGTATCTTGCTCAAATATAGATTTGCCATTGTCGCATTTGCTGATATGATATTATAATTGCTTGGTTTTTATTTCGTAGGGTTTATGTTGTTGAACTGCTGGGACTTTTAGCTTAATACCCAACAGAAATTTCAAATTTTCTTTAGAGAAAGCTTAGTATTGGTTTCATTTCTGTTTAAAAATGTTGTGGATTTGGATAATGAACTAGGATTCCTTATGGAGAAGAGTTCTGTCTTCTGGTGCTTAAGTTGAGTTTAACTTCAATTAAAATATTGGCAATTGAGAGTGCTGTTTTTTTCTAGTTGTAGATGTACAATGTCTTCTCCATCTGAATATGGGATATGCTGGTTTCCTCCTTCCATTTATAGATATCAGTTTTCCTAAGCGCACTATTATTTCCACTTTGGTTGAAATTGTGTTTGCTTGCCTGAAATTAGTGTTGATGCATGTATTCTAAACCATTTTCCATAATCTTATTGTTTGACATGAATTTATTTATTTGTGTTTATAGGTACAACTATATGTTCCGGTGAAGATGATAAAAAGAGATTCAACAAGGTCTAGCATTGTGCTGGTACACTATTATACATGGTAGATAAAGTGAGTAGCCTCATCACACATACTTTGAGGGTTGTGCTTCTTTGTGACCGTTTTGCTCATAAGAAACCACTAAAGGGAAATTCTTTATGTCACTCTCGTGTGGATAATGGTGAGATGGATGGTATTGTTATACGCTTCGTAATCTCACTACACATATACCTTGTGTAGGGTTTAAATCTTGTAATTGTGAAAAATGGAGTTGTCTTTGCCTTCCTCATTGCAAAGGAATTGGCCCATCAGTTCTCTCAATTCCAGCTTCCTTCCTCATTATCCTCCTTGCTTATTAGGTACAGTCAAGAAGAATTGTAAAATCAACCAGATCTCACAAAATATCTCTTTTTCAATATCATGCTCATCTGTCAAAACTGTCCGTTGTCCTTCACTGGACAGACATGTTGTGAAGCAGAACAAGATACGTTTTGTCCAAAAGCTACAAACACTGCTCCTTTCTAAACCAAAATGCTATATTCCTCAAAGCCACGGTCCATCCTCTCAATGATCCATCGTTACCCTACCATTTTCGAACTCTTCTCAATCCCAACACCTCCTTTGCCAGTCAACGCAACCAAGTCATTATCACAACTCTGTGTCCGTCTAACCCCAGCTGCAGCTGCCCTTGCTGCTCAGGAATTAAGTCTTAAATCAGCCATCTCTGACTCTTTGGCCACCAAACTCCAGAAACTTCTTATGCTCTCGTCTCATCACCGGCTACTTCTGTCAAAATTGGTTCATCTAGCTCCAGATCTTGGTCTTCCCCCTAATTTCCGCTCTCGTTTATGCAATGACCATCCAAATAAATTCAAGACTATTGACACCTCCTATGGCCGTGCGCTCGAGCTGGTCTCCTGGGACCAAGACTTGGCAAAGCCTTTATCATCTCCTAAAGTTCAATCGCGTCAGCTAATAGTAGACAGACCTTTGAAGTTCAACCAGTTGACACTTCGAAAAGGGCTAAATTTGAAAAGGCGTCACCAAGATTTTTTGCTCAAGTTTAAAGAAATTCCAGATGTGTGCCCATACAATACCCCTGTCTCGGACTTGCCTAAAGAGTCAATTGAGGCAGAGAAGAGAGCTTGTTTGGTGGTGAGAGAAGTGCTAGGAATGACAGTTGAAAAGAGAACTTTGATAGACCACTTGACTCATTTTAGGAAAGAGTTTGTGCTGCCAAACAAATTGAGACGGATGATCGTGCGGCACCCAGAGTTATTCTACGTGAGCTTGAAAGGCCAGAGAGATTCTGTGTTCTTGGTGGAGGGTTTTGATGATAAGGGTGTGCTGTTGGAGAAGAAAGAGACTTTGGTGATAAAGGAAAAGTTGATGGAGTTGGTCAGCGAAAGCAAGAGACTAAGGAGAGAGAGGAGGAACACTCGCATTAACAACACTGAGATTGGTGACGCTAGTGATGAGTTTGAGTATGATGACAATGATGATGATTATGATGACGGTTTTCAGAGTTTGTTTGAGTCTGAAGATTTGTATTTGGATGATGATGGTGATGAGAAGGTTGAGACAGTGGACTACAGGGAGAATGCGCAGTTTTGGACTGTTGATGCTCATTCTGTTCTTGGTGGCGGGAAGCAATCTATGGAACCTTGGTAGCTGAGAATGTCAAAAATGTACATATCTTACCTGAAAATAATCAAAGTGGTGAGGGTATTATTTTTGCAGTTATGTGAATGCATGTAAAGATGAAGTATTACAATATATCTACATATATATATATATATATATATATATATAAAGCAAAATGACCCTTAACTTCAAGGTTAAATTTTCAAAAATACCTTGGTTATCATCAGTTGAAAAAAATACTAAAGACACAACAACTTCATTTTCAAATAGCATAATGGTAAAAATCAATTTATTAAATAGAAAATTTTCAGAAGAAAAATCTGAGGAGAAACCATTATTTCCTAGTTGGGCTAAACCTTGCAGGGTTCCTGTGCACCCTGTCTTTTTGGATCAAAGAAAGGCTCTGTTTTTTTATTATTTTGTGAAGTTTCAGAACACCTTTGAACTATAATTGCTTCACCGATGGTATAACCCTAATTCTTTCCAGTGCGTTTAATTATCGTCATTGATGAAATGGAGCATTTTTGGTGGATCACTCTAGATTTGGTTGTATCCCTAGTTTATGCTCCTAAACTGAGGAATTGGCTTCCGATGACTACATAGTACAAGACCTACTGTGTGGACAGATACGGGTCAAACATTTTTCAGATGGTGGCAGATCCTGGAGGTAATCACATAATTGTAATATGCTTGTTGAATTCTTAAGTCAAAAGTTGAATTATTTGATTTTTTTTACATATTACCGTATCGCTTGTCCTATTGACTCGGTTTTTCTTAGTGACAAGTTAAGTTCACGTTCAAGGGGGACCTTTAAATTCTGTGATTGGCATGTAGAGTAGGTTTAATGGAGAAGATGGAGAGCAATGCTGGGTGGAGCAGCTAGCCCTGCAGCAATATGCTGGGGAAGGAGTATGGCAGGGTGTTCATGTAGAGAGTGGCATTTGATTCACTATTTTTGGCCTTCTTAAGTGGGATGTTATATTTTCTGATATACCAAATGTCTTCTGCACCAGATTTCAGGTATGCTTGAGTTTGTGTGCTACCAATCTCCCAGATTTTTGGAATGTTCTACGTTATTTACATTCATCCATACATAGTGTTTTTATATATGTATGTATTTGCACACTTGGTTTAGGTTTAGTGGCTTTAGAGTTTGCTCAGTAGCAATGCTTTCTCGATCGATGTGATTTATTACTCTTGTTGAAGTGAGGGCATGAAGCAAAATAAGGTGTTTGGTTTATGCTAAAAGTGTACTTTAGGATACAAGTTTATGAGTTCAATGACAAGGCTGATATGAAGTTGATGTCGAGAAATAAAGAAGAGTGAGAAAGCTGAGAAAAGGGCTAAAGATTTGAAGAAGAAAATAGGAGAACAAAGGAGGCAAAGCAAGAAAATTTAGAAGTCTTTGTTCTCACTCAATACGCCACATTCATTTTTATATTAACATATCTATTTATATAATATCTAATTTTGACCTGCACAGGGTCCTCTCATCAATACACACGACTCTGCTCATCAATCGATTTGGTAAAAAATGAAATCCTATGTTGCAGATCGCTCCCCTGGATTTAGAGACTGATAGATTTATGTAGTGAAAAAGAGCCTTATTTTGATGGCATGGCTGAGGAGATTCTCATCACTTCATGGGAATTTCATGAGGGAATAGCATGTAGTGTAGTTGATTGTGGCCGGCGTTTGCTTCAACAATTAGAAGATAAATATTTGCTGAATGCAGCTTTCACCTTTGAAGATGGTTGTGTACCATCTAAAGAAGTTGATTAAGAATATTGAGTAGTTCATAGTTGATTTTTCTTAGGTTGGATCCAAGCTTTTCTGGAGATTTGGAAATGATGTCTGTTTCTTGAGCCGTTGGGTAACAATTAAAGTTGTATGTGTGTCACCATGTCTTCTAACCTTTAGTTTGAAAAGGCATATTCTCTGATATTCTAGGGGATAATTTTCCTGAAACTTGTATGAACTGGTGTACAATTTTGGCATGTTTGGGAGTGCTTCTGAAAAGATTAAGAACGCATTTTGACAATTAAAATCGCTTATGACAGCGTTTGGTATAAAAGTTTAGAAGTATTTTTGGATCATAGAAGCACTTTATAGGGAAGCACATGTTATATACTTTTTTCAGGAAGCACTTTCAAGTGTTTTTCGAGGAAGTACTTAGATTTTTTTTATTTATAAAAATGCAAGATTTTTATAATAAAAGCATTTTTGTTAAAAGCGCTTATGATCAAAAGTACTTTTTAAATAAGCAAGCCCAAACGAGTCATAAATGTTGGTTGGTACAATGCAAAAAAAAATTTGTTTGTTCATTTGACTTTACCATGCAACTTTTGAACTAGGCCATGGGATGGGAAGCTACGCAACTATGGATTTTTAAGTTAAAAGATTAGTTAACGACTTCTAATCCCAGCTAATGCGTTAGCGTCCCTAACATGAAATCCTCATAATGGAGCATTTTCCCTGGGGCCATGAACCTCTATGTCAAGTCAATTATTGTTGTTGTTTTTTTGCCCTTTTCGGCCTGATATCCGAGGGCTTAATAGACATTTCGGTTATTGAACAGCGGAAATATTCTACCAGCTCCACCACGTACAAGATTTATCCGATTGAATTTCAGACACCACTATTGCATTGATAGGAAAGTGACAAAACTGCTTTGTCTCAACTTTGGACCAAAGCCCGCCATTAACCCTATCTTAAAGATTACAGAAAATTTTCCGCACATTCAGTTTCTTTATTTTAATTACGTAAATAAAGTACAAAAGTTTTGAGTAATTTATTCCAGCTAAGAGGCCCCAGCAGCGGAAGGGTGTCTTTATCATGAAAAAGAAATATACACATCAATTATAAGGTTATCTAAGAATGCAATTCGACGATCATAATCATTTATATTTTAAGTCCTTGTCTAGAAATTATTCCTGCAAAGAATCATCCAGATCTGGAACTGTTGAGTCATTTAAAATGTGCAAAGAAATATAATACGTTGAATAAAATTGAAACGAAAATTTGGACAATCAAATAACTAAACAATTTTTCCCATTTAACCGAGTCATCAATTCTAAGGTTATCTAAGAATGCAATTCGACCATCATAATCATCTATATTTTAAGTCCTTGTCTAAAAATTATTCCTGCAAAGGATCATTCAGATCTGAAATTGTTTCGTCATCTAAAATGTGCAAAGAAACATAATACGTTGAATAAAATTGAAATGAAAATTCGGATGATGAAATAACTAAACAATTTCCAATTTAACCGAGTTTTTAGGTGGAGCTTATAAACTCCACTCCTTGAATTACAGCCCATAAATAAAATGATTTTAGTTTTCTTAAACAAGGACATCTTACTGGAGAAAGATTATATTTATATAAGAATATAATATGAAAGCCCAAGCATTACTTTTTATTTTATTTTATAAAGTTCCGTTTGCATATACCAGAAGTAGATAACGTATTAGAGAAGAGTTCGTTTTCTTGCATATTTAGGCACTGGACCTACCCACTCGATTGTTTTCGACATACTACTCAATCGAATTGTCAAGCCTTCTTCTGGCTTTTTTCCTCTCTCTCTCTCTCTCTCTCTCAGAATTGAGTAGTTAAGGGCCTGTTTAATAACCATTTCAATTTTAATTGTTAGTTTTCATTTTTTGTATTAGAGTATAAAAGAAAAAAAAGGAGAATGGAAGTGAGAATGACTGTAGAGATGAGATTGAGCGGAAAGATTAGAGGGAGGAGTAATAAAAGTGAAAACAAAAACTAAAAATTGAAATCTATTTGAAATTATTTTCATTTTTGTTACTACTCCCTTCCATCCTCCCCTCTCTTAATCTCATCCTCACTATCATTTTACTCTATACTCTAGAACAACAAATGAAAACTAAAAACTAAAATTGAAATGATTATCAAACGAGTCCTAAATTGGCTCGTTTTCTGTTTTTCCTTTTTAGCTATTTTGATTTTGATATTTTCACGTTGAAGTATTGAGTGGCCATGTGGATATTTTCATGGTTTTGTCCCCACCCATCTTTCTCTCTTATCTGTCCTTGCTTTTGGTTGGGTTTTCAATTACAAAAAGGTTCATATGTTCTCTTTTATCTTGTGTTAGTTTAATTGAAATGTAAATGTATCAAGAAAAAGCAAGAAAAATGTAATCGTTAGATTGTTTGCCACAAATCAATGTATCCACTTGCATGATCAGGCTGCAAGTGACGGAGGTTGTTAGCTTGATATACATAATTTGAGAGTGGAACAAGAATTATACTAAACTAGAGAAAAGTTCGGTCAATTTTTATTTGACTAGGTTGGGTTAATTTCTGGGATCATCGTGCTATCTATAAGCATTTCCCTAGGTAATACTTTTTTTTCTTCCCCAAAGCAATGGTAGAAAAGCTGGTGTTGGAGTGGTAATTCGTAATTCAGTTGGGGAGTTTCTAGGAGGCATGGCTGCATCACGAGTGGGTCACTCTGCTCTTGAGGTGGAGGCTGAAGCAGCTGTCTTGGGGCTGGAGCTTGCGGCCAATCTGGGCTATAGTGATGTCTACGTGGAATCTGACTCAAAGACCCTTGTGGACGGGATCAAAGGGGAGGTAAGGAACCGTGCCTGGACTATCAGGCCTTCTATTGAGGTTATTTGGCGTAAAGCTGATCAGTTCAGAAGTGTTTTTTGGCGTTGGGTTCAAAGGAGTTCAAATCAAGCAGCTCATGAGGCTGCAGCGATAGGTTGCCGAGCAGTGGAGCTGGAAAGCTGGGTTACTCAACCACCGCTGTCTCTCATACATGTTTTGGTGTCTGATGGTCTTCCAGGTCCTCCTTAATTTTTGTTTTTTAGAGTTGGAGTTTTCCTTCTTTTGCTGGATTGTAGTGATTCAGATGAAGGAGACTCTGTAGTTGTCTCAGTTTCTGCTTTCTGTGTATTTCCTATCAGTTGCCTTTTGGCTTGGAATCTAATTCATGGTTGACCAAAAAAAAAAAGCTACAACCCACCATAGCCTTCTATCCTTCACTATTGGCCTATTCTTTGATAATAGGCTAGTAGTTGTCTAATAGCAACATTGTGAGGATCACATACTGCAAATCACT